AGCAGAACAAATAGCACGAGTGATGCGGAATATGGCTTTTGAAAAAGATGGGAATGATACACATCGGTTATCGTCGTGAAAGTGCCTCGTTGATTGTTGTGTGATTCTCTTGTCATATCCATTCATTTATTGATTGCTTCTTCATCAATAACATTTTTTACTTCCCTTTTAAAATGTTATTCAAATCGTAACTATTTGAATACTATTTTAAATACTATTTCAGAACCTAAACATTTTTTTGAGTATTCAATTATACATTAATAGTAATAAACTATTGAAATCTAGTTCATTCACTTAAGAGAGAGAAATGAACTAGAGAATAAACTAGAAAAGAACTAGACAGAGTTGGCTCTGATAAAAAGAGAAAAAAAGGGACTACATCTCTAAAAGCAGACAAAAACAGAAGAAAGAAAATGATAAACCACATGGAAAAACTAGAAACCCTTCTAATAGAAATGAAATGAACTGAAAAAAAAACTAGAACATGAGCGATCATACAAAACACCCGACGCGTGCACATCACGCCGTTGAAAGATTTCAAGGTTCCGTCCCACAACGTGCCACTTCTAAAGCACTCCGTCTTGACGGAGACGGAATTGTACTGGGAACATCGAAGAAAATATCGTCGGCAATCAACGCGTTGGAACAAAATAAATTGGTCAACCTCCATCGCCTTTTCTACGGGAGCGCTGGCGTCGCAAAGGAACGGCTGATGAATGTCTTGGCATTCTGTGGGCTCGAACAAGCGAATCAAACTGCTTTCGACAAGAACGTGAAACGCGTGACGGGGGCATTGGAGAAAAAGACGGACGAAGAGATCGACGAACTCGTGAAAGTGTTTGCAGTGAAGGTGAAAGAGACGCGGAACGGGAAAATCGAAGACATCTTGAATTTCGTTATCACTCCATTGCGACCAAATTGTGACGAACAAATCGAATTCAAAGATGAAACGTTCGAGGAAATGGTCGAAGAAGGAGACGAAGAACCAGAAACACAATACGACGGGTTGGATGCGTCGAGTGATGAAGGTGAAGTCTATAACGAAGAAGATGAAGAAGACGATGATGATAAACCTATTAAAAAAACTAAAACAACGAAGAAAGGAGCAAAGACATCACAAACGAAAAAGGGTAAAAAGAAAACAACAAACAAATGAAAGTTATTTTGAAATTTTGGTGTTCTTTTCTGCGCTTTTCAATGGGTTCTTTTTGGAATGTCGTCGAGATTTGATGAATGACAATATGATTTTAAAAAATAATACTAACATTTTAAACTATTTTTTTTTGAGATTTGTATTATTTATTATAATAAAAATATTAAAGGAATATCATTGTAATACAATATGCTAAAAAAAGAATTCGTTTTTTAAATATTTTTGAAAAATAATTCAAATGCATTTTTGGGAAGAGAACATCGTTTATCAATGCAGGTTTTAATTATAATTTATACTACAATTATCTAAAAGTATAGTTTCTTTTTTTGCAATAAACCCAGAAAGATCAATCAAATCAAAAAATAATCAGATTGAAAATGGCGGAATAAACCCGAAATAATAAGGTAAAAAACGAAATAAAAGGACGGAATTTAGAGAGAAAGAATAAGTCAAAAAAAGAGAGAACTTATCAGAGAAGGTTGATGAAAGAATGGAAGAACGGTGAGCTTCTTCTACAAGCAGAATGTCGTAGAGAGAAAAATGAAAAAACTGGAATAGAACAGAATGAGCGATAGTGACGCATTGTTGATACCTTCTCAACCTCAGACGAGTAACCCCACGAATCCGCAAGGTGAACAGAGTTCAGGGGAAACCGAACAACTGTTACCAAAACAAGAGGTCAACACATATGGGTATTTGGCGGGCTTTGCGACTGTCATCAATTACATCAGTTCGTTTTTCAGAGATTAATGCCCCATTTTTTTAAGCATATATAGTCGCATAACACTCATATATAGTTGGAACGGGTGTATTTGGGTTGCCATTTGCTTATTTTACCGCTGGTATACCACTTTCTGCCATTGCCATTATGATATTCTTCTTCATTAACGTCATCACTATGAACTATATCTTGGATACAACAGCAAGGTCTGAGGGTAAAACAGAAGTGAAGGAAAACAAGGGAGAAAATGTATTTAAAATTTTACCACATAATGAGATCAAATATCGCCTTTTTGACTATTCCACACTCAGCGGGTTGTGGGGAGGAAACATTTTCAAATGGGCTTCCTTCACATGTTTAACTTTGTACACATATGGTGGGCTTTGGGCATACGCTGCAACAGCAACAACAACCATCTCTACACTCTTCTGGATGTTTTATGGGGAACCAGAGCATTGTTTGACGCGGAATGGCATCTGGGAGTGTCAACTGTCGTATTATATGTCACTGCTGCTCTATGCTGCTATTGTTGTTTCGTTGAGTTTCATTGATTTGAGTAAACAAGATGGCTTCAAATGATATTAACGTTCTATCGATTC